AGATCATGCCTGTCACTGCTGCGCTGTATCGACATCGGTGCGATCATTTGAGTGTGATTCCATCATACAAAGCTGGATCCGACACTACACAGTCGCGTGCACCGTGGTGTCGGATTCGGTGATCACATGTCGCGATTCTCACTCGTCTTCGTGCCAGGCCGCCGCTTCCGCTACCGGCAATTCACGAGTGTAGTCATTGTAAGTCGGCGTCAATAGCAGAACGCCGTTCAAAGCTATTCGCCACTGTAACTGCCGCCGCCTGCTATAACGCTCCAGTACGTCGTGACGTCGTGTCCCCTCATTCGTAATTGCACCATCGTCTTGAGCAACATCGATGGAAGCCAGGTACCTTCTGCCATCGAGGTCGGACTATATCGCACGCAAGCTTTGCCACGTCCTCGTGGGCTTTCTGCTCCAGCCCAAGAAGTTGTGTAGCTGTTCATAGTCGTGATCTAGCCTGCCCAGAGCCACTTGCTGGCGTTTGCCGACGAGAGAAGACCAGCTCTCCGCACGCGCAGTGGAGTCAGCCGTGGTTTGTTGCCATACGCTTTCCGCATACCTCCCGAAGATCATGAACACAGCTATAGCGACCAGCGTCGGTGTCGACAGCTAAATTTTGACCTCCAATACATCATCCTCGACGTCTTGGTCTTTCACATCGTCGGATTCGCTCGGCTAGCGGACAGGAATACAATCCATGAAGTCTGAAGCTATCAGCGTCGACCCTGTCCCCTGATGGGGCCATGGCCGCCGCACCTAGGACTGCATCAAGATGTTGAGCCAGGAAAGCCGTTCGAGCAACCGCGGAAGGCTAGACTATCTACGTTAGAGTAGCACGCATCCGGTGCCGGAACGGAGCCCTACAAGATCAGCGGTTGTTGGAGAGCGGTGTATTGGTCTCTGTTGCCGCTCTGTAGTATTGGAGGTCGCGAGCAGTTTCAGGAGGCTTTGTCCGTTGCTACCGCATGTCTGAATCACTCGTCTGGTCCCAGCACATCGTCCGTAGCTGCGGCGCCGGAAATACGTTGCATAGTGAGATGCGGGAAAGACTTCCTCTATCATTCGTCCGGAGGAAACGATGTGGCATAACACACAATACAAGACTCTAAACCCCTGCGCGCAGTGCAAGATTGGAGTCATGCTCTTCGACCGACGCTCGCTTTGGACGACGCCGTGAAACACAGGTGGCCCGCTGACGGTAGCCAATGCCAACTTGTGCGCCGACTGCTGAGTCTCGTGATGACTACCGTCTTGGCCGGATGTCAAGGGTGTCGTCAAGGAGGGAGCTATGGTACTGATGCTGAAAGATCGTGGGAAGCGTGGTGATTGTCCAGTAACGGACCTGGCCGTGAAAGTTAAAAGAGCCAGATGTGGCTCGGGAACGCGTGTGACTGGTGTTGTGTACAACCACTATATATCTCATCGATCATTCGAACAAGCTCTCTCATACGCAACGCTATGATCGCCGGCGATGTCGCACATATCCAAGGTTGCGAGGCTGTCGCAATCGACACCAGGCAATTTGGCATGTGGTAGCGTTTTGTGAGCTTTTCTATAATGTGATAAGTATCCTGCCGCCCTCATGGACTCGAAGCAACTTGGTGAGAGATTATGAGGGAAGACTGGGATATGAAGGAATAGACGAGAGCACTGGAGAAGACGAGAGTATTACAGGGAACGTACATACTAAGATGTGGCTGGGGTGCATGTAACCCTTCTTAAGTCCACATTTGACGTGATCATCGTCCACTACTGCACAGTTGGAGAAGGTGCGAAACGGGAAACGTCACCGTTTGCGCGCATTGAATGATCTGAACGGTGGGATCACTCTTCAGTCGCAATGTCTGCGGTACGCTATCATCTTGTGTGCATTGGTGAGTAAGCTCGGAAACACGCTAGTGTCTTGGCTCTTGGCGAGCTCACACCATTCATAGCTGTGCACTTCAGTGGTGAAATATATCCTGAGCGTAAACGCGATTAAACAGTATCCGCAAGCATGGCAGCACCCGAAGAATACGACAACGCCTACCCGAAGATATGCTCGGCCTGGCTGCTTCGTGGCGAGTGCGGCCCCGACCAGTGCGACCGGCGGCACCACAACAACTTGCGCCCCGGTGGACCGCGAATTGCGCAGGTCGACATCTCGACCGAGCTGGGCACGTCGTGCCACAGGTGCCTGCAGAGGGGCCTGGTAGTATGTAAAGACTATCTCTCGAGCGAGACTTTGCCTAACCACTCACAGTGTGATAAGAAAGGCCGCGGCGAAGGTGGCGATGACCCATGCTCGGAGTGCAGGTGGTTTCTTGGTGATGACACGGAGACGCCGTGCACCATATCGTCGGAGCAGAGTGTCAGCGACGGCCATTGGCACACCATGTGCAAGCGTGAGGGCAATGGTCACACGCTGTCAGACTGGAACGCTCGGCATAAGATTCGCGGCAACCGCCCAAAGAAGGGTGAACCGCGCGAGACGGTCATGCAGGGACCTCAGCCGATGTCCGCCACCAAGCTCAAGGCGAACTGGTCTGGTCAAACGCTGGAGCAGCTCACGAGCCAGGCCGACCCATTGCCGCCTGATGTGCGTGCGCACCCCCGGGCTTACCTGCTTCCTCCGCACGATAATCACGAGGAGAGGAGGAACAAGAGGAAAGCAGCCGAGCATGCTGCTGAAGAGGCGTCGCACTCGTCTTTGCCGTCTGTTTCGTCCGGTCCCGCTCAGCCGCAATTCGGGGCAGGTGCGATGGGCTCGAACTTCAACTTTGGCGTGCCATCCTTCGGCCTCCCTGCTCAAGGTCCAAGCTCTGGTGGGGTTGTGAGCTCGTATTACGATCAGAGCACACAGTCCTTAGTTCAAGTCTCGGTGCACACCACGCCTGTTCCGAGCCTCCCGGTGTCTAGCATGGCTGCTGGGTCGCTTCCCGCGTTTCCGCAGACGTCGTCGTTCACGGGTGGCCTGCCTTCCTCGGTGACGGCTGGTATGCGCCCAGCTCCTGTTCCCTCGTCCGGCGTTCCATCCCGGTCAAACCCTCCTGCGCCCTACCGTCAAGCTGCGCAGAGTAACCTACGCGCTCCTCCTCCGACTCGCGCACCAGCAGCTAGCAACGTGCGCCCTCCACATGGGCTTCCGTCAAGGCCGGACTTCAGCACCGAGGCGCCATCGAAGAAGCTCCGCACAGGTACCGGCGCGTCAGCTCCAAGCGTCCCAGGTGCTACTGTGCCAGCTCCTGTCGTCTCTCCAGCATCAGCGCCTTCAACGGACGTGGAGATGAGCGAGGCCAACGTCGGCAAGGATCCTAGTGCCGGGTTCGAGTCGATGACCAACAATCAGGTCGACCTGGACGACATGCCTGCTGTCGACGAGGATGAGGAGGAGTAAAGTGGTGCTGCATGTGCGCGAGTTGTCTTTTTTCCCCTGCTCCGTCCTTCCCCGCCTTTGAGTAAGATCCCAGGCCTGCACTGCTTCAATGCCCCTTCCCCGAAACAATGTTTCCACCATCGAGTAAGATCTTTGGTCCCCGGCCTCAACTGTAACACCTCCCTGCCTCTGAGTCAGATCCTAGGCCTGCACCGCTTCACTGCCCCCGTCCCCTGCTCCGCCCCCCTCCCGCCTCTGAGTAAGATCCTAGGCTGCACCCAGTTAGCACTCCAGACTAGTATGATGCAGAATGAAAGCCGGTTCGAGTCGCAAGGCTGTCTTAGTATTTGTCCCCACTTTCAGCTTGTCTTGCCTGTCGTAACAAACACAGAATAAATGCACGATCGCCGGCTGTCACTTGGTAGAATGCTCGGACGAAGGCGACAAGTAAGCTTTACCTGCAGACCAAGGGACCGAAGGGCCGCGCAGAATTGCAAAGATTCATCCTTAAGCTGAAGTGAAGCAGAAACGTCTCCGATTATGCAGTCAACTCAGAGATGCATAACTCATCCAACGTTGCCTTGAGAGACTCCACCGCAATACCGGGTATACGTAAGCACCATCACACGCTGCTAGCGAAGGCACTTGACACGGCACTCGCCAACGGTGCAAGAACGGAGGTTGGGAAAGCACCGAGTGTACTCGCAAGCAATAGGTCATACATGTATGCCAGGCGGGACGCAGATGTACATCGATACTATGTGAGAATAAAATCTCTGCTTCCTGTTCGAAAAGCTAAGGCGCCAATGCATCATTTGACATATACTGTCCCATTCTGTACCCCTCGTCACCTCGATTTGTTCGGACAATGATATGACGCAGATTATCCGAAACACATCACATCCCTTGCCTGCCGCCTTGTCCCTGTCTGCGGTGCTAGTGACAGCACGGTCAATTTGCATCTACGTGAGCCCCACGTAAGGCAGATTGATCTGCTCTATTCTCTTTCTCTCTTGTGTGATGCTGCTTGGGCGCTGATCGAAGTACGGACACCAACAATGCAGGGACTGTCAATGAAGTTGACGGCCGTCGCCTGGACAGATGCGCCGGGTGACAAGTGCGTCTTGCGAGAGTTTACGGATTAGAACTATGTACCTAGTGAACAGTGTGGATGACAACATGGGTCTGGGCTGGAGGCGTATTTGAGCCGCAGATGTTGGGTACGAAACATAGTGACGGCTTGAATGGCGGGCAATTTGGGACCTTGAAGCCGACTCACGAACTCCACCTCTCACTTCGCGCTGTAGGAGTGGAAGATTTACTTTTCGCGCTATTGGAAATCTTGTCAGTATAGTGAGCGTGCGTGCTATACCTATCGTAAGAGACTGACCGCTAGGTACAATCAAGACGTACTGGATCACGCATAACACTGCTCCCAACGATCACTTGTATCTGAGGCGGGCTTGAACGCATCATTAGAGGTAGAGGAGTACTTGGAAGTGCGGGGATGCGGACACAATCGGAAAAACGATCACTTCACTCCACGCAAGTCGCTCCTTCCTCGAACATCATTCTCTGGCAAGACTTTCCTGCGGATCAACATAATAGCTGAATATCAAGCGTCATCGCGACTAAGCCCATCGTAGCCCGCTTGGCTTAGTGGTACAGCGTGTCACTCGTATTCTACGGTTTATGACAAGATCATTGGTTCGATTCCAGTAGTGTACGTGAAGCACGCCGCATTAGGAAGTCATGGCAACAATTGCTAACGAAATATTCAGGGGCACTACATCTGATGAATCTTTTGCTCCTCTGAAGTAGTCTTCTATCTTCGCTGTCCTCGCCGACCGGTCAGAGCATGTGATCGTGCCTTTTGCCTACTTCTACCAATATTACAACGTTGGAGCGATCAACCTTGGCAGAACGGCTTCCTACATCCCACCGCACGTTTCAGACCCTACACAGCATGCATCATGCGACTCGGTAACATACAGCTGCCTCAACGGCTGCTTATTGCGCCATGCCTCTTTTACGTCTTCGCTGGCGTCGCAAACGCTTCATCGGGTGATCGCCTCCCCGAATTCAAAAGATGCGTGACGGTGAGTCTACCTCCAATGCTCCTACAAGGCTGGAGGTCTCCTATGCTACGATTCATCGCGCCTCGACACTCATCTGGCTGCGAGAGTGCCGAGAGGATGTAACGCCAGTCGGTCCAGGAAAGACGCTACAGATGTCTCTTCTCGCCCAGGTTTTGAGAATACGTTCACTGCTGTGGTGCGGATGACAGTTGCATGAAGGACCTTGATACCTTCTTAACAGCGAAGGGACTATGGGATCGTATTACGGCTCTCGACTGACTCAATCGTTAGGACTGCATCTCAGCAAACTGTGGCAAGGGTGGGCCCCAAATACGTACGTCCCCTTCCGAAGCTCCTTTCTCAAACCTAGTCGGCTGATCTCCAACGCAGCCCTTCACCACGGCGCACTTCTCTGGACCTGCCCTTCTGAATGCGACTACACCTGCCAACACATTGTCACCTCTCAACGCCTCTCCCGAGACCCTCCATACCTGACACCGATCCACCAATTCCATGGCAAATGGCCCTTCCACCGCTTCCTCGGTCTGCAAGAACCCTTCTCAGTCCTCTTCTCGCTTCTCAACTTCCTCGCCCACTACTGGGGCATCTCTCGCCTCAAGGCTGAGATTCCTGCAAGCTATGCCTTACGGAAGTACTACATCGGGTTCGGCTACTGTGGATTCGCGAGCTGGACGTTCAGCATGATCTTTCACGCACGCGACTTCGTCGTGACTGAGCGGCTGGACTACTTCGCTGCGGCCTTGAGTGTGATGTACGGCCTGTTCTACGCGCCTATTCGGGTCTTCCGCCTCGACCGTCCCTCGGCTTCTGCGACCGATTCCTCGACATCGAGATCCTCGACGCTGATTCGAGTTTGGGCTGTGCTCTGCGCCAGCCTCTACTGCGCCCACGTATTCTATCTGATGTTCATTCGGTTCGACTACACGTACAACATGGCTGCTAACGTTGCCGTGGGTATCATCACCAATGTGCTATGGACTGGCTTCAGTGTGGTGAGGGTTAGGAAGGTGGGGAGGTTGTGGGCTGCATGGCCTGGTCTAATCGTGGCTTGGATCGTGCTGGCCATGGGATTGGAGCTGTTCGACTTTGCGCCTTGGGGAGGGATGGTGGATGCGCATTCGTTATGGCATTTGGGGACTGTGGGGCCGACTGTGTGGTGGTACAAGTGAGCAAAGCTTGTCTCCGTTGATTGGAGGTACGGTGGACTGACTTGTCTACAGCTTCCTGATCAAAGATGCACGTGAAGACCTGCAGGACAAGCGATTGAAGGCATGAGAGCGCTATGACTTAAGTCGGACTGTATGTATTACGCATTGGAGTTTGAGATGTGCCTCGCTGCTCGAACATTGGACCCATCTTCCACATGTTATGCAGGGTCGATTTGGCCCTCGACAGATACATTGTACATACTTTGGCGGCCATGCCGACCGAATAAGACGATCCATAGCCTCGTCCCCCGGATACCATGTCTTGTTTTGCGATCGTCGTTCACGTGATGTTCTCTAGCACGTGTTTCGTGATCGACCTCCCGTAGCAAGCACTTCCCCAGTCGCTTCTTTCCTTGACCTCACATATGAAACTCCTCCACTTCCGTGACACTTCCGTGACAGCATTTCAGTCTCACAATTTCTTACCGACATCGATGGCACCAGACATCAACACCCTGCCGATTTCGCCCCGTGCTGAGAGACCGCGCTCTTCGCATAATCCCTCCTCCGTCCCCCTTCCACCCCCCCTCTCCACCTCCAGGCGGACATCGCAGATAATGGGTCCACCAGTAGCACCAGCTTCGGCTGGCGAACGGCTACACCGGAGCCCAGTAATCACCTCACACGAGCAGGGTATAAACATGCCAATGCGACATCCAAGGCCACTCACGGCGGCCGAGCTGTATGCGGAGTGCGAGAAAGAGCAGGAAGCCGTCGTGCGTATACACGCGTTGCTTTAAGTTGCTTTGACAGGGAGCTCACAGATTGTATAGGTCAATCGCCTCGCAAGAGAGCTCACTGCATTACGCGCCCAGACTGCATCAGTCGCGTCCAACAACTCGATGTCCAGCAGCTCGACGTCCGCCTCCCTGCTACCTGTCGATATCACGGACCCGAACGCCATACATCAGATGACAGGCGCGACTCATCCTACGCCCTCTCGCCGCCACCGCAGCTCCTCCTCGCTATCAACAAGGAGCATACCCACTCCTTCTACATCCGTCTCGGTGGCGGGCAGCACCTACAGCACGCAGCCACATGCCGGCAGCACCACCTCGGCCCACCCTGCTGCACATGCCAGCCAAAGTCAAGCATCTTTCGCCCGGACAGCAGCATCAGGCGCGTCACTCTCGCGCCAGCCTTCAGCCTCAGCTCGTAGCGGCGCATCTACGCCTGCCAGGCAAAGCGTCGACAACTTACGC